TGTGAATATTAAATGAGACTGGCTTTTTAGCACAGCACCTGACACATACAAAGCATGCAATAAATGGAAACTTGGCAGGGATGTTAATACATGTCCACAGTCCCTTATCCCAGATGTATTCGGGAATTTGGAATTTTTCCAATTTCATGAAGGTGATACAGTGTAAATACTGTGTATTACATAATACCCCCAGCAGAGCACCCTGTAAACAAACACATTAATATTTCTGCAATCCAATGAATGGCCTCACTAAGCAGGATAAATAAAGACTAAAAATAGCCTCATATCAGGTTTCAGGTCAGGTTTAGCCACACATTGAGTTTGTACATAATTTTTTTGATTACCAATAGAAAAAAATAGTGTACTATAGTAGTAATTATGATCAAAACCCTGTTGGTTTTGCCCACTTGCACCCAACGTGGTCTTGGGCCCTTCTCAGTGGTCACTGGGGTACAGGATTCAGTACCCTCCATCCAAGGCCTTCATAAATGCTCTCTCTCCCTCTCATCACCCAATTTCCCTCCTTAGAGCCTGCAGAATCCACCCCTAAAACTCAGGAGAGGGGCAGTGAGGAACCCAGCACAGAGGAACCCTCAACTCACATACCACCACTGGATTCCCAAGGAGCCAATTTGGTAAGACCCCAGGGCTGGGTTGCCGGGTCTACAGGAGAGCAGGCCTTCATGGTAAGAGGATTTTCATCTCCTCTGATGGACAAATGAAGAAAAATGGGAGTAAGCTACAGCAGGAGGGATTGAGGTTGGATTTTATGTAGGATTTCTGGCTCCAGGAATGGGTGATAGAAGTAGTCCATGGATGTTTGGAAAAAAGGCATTTGGAACCCAAAAGGAGATCCTCGTCTGCCCATACTGGGTGGGCAGTGGCCTTCTCTGCCTGGAGGTGGATGTATTGATTAGATGACCTCCTGAGATTTGATTTTACAGTCCTTACTCCTCCTGCATACACTGGACAAGGGGGAGAGTCTGATATCAAACTTCAGAACAAGCTTCCTGAGAAGTTAGATGCTTGACAGATGGGATGGTCAGCAGGGGAGGGAACAAGGTGACCCTCTGTCCTCTCATTTTCTCTTTCTGTCCCTTCCCCCACAACAGGTCTGACAGAGAAGGAGGTATCCTGGAATCAAAACTGCAGTTTGGGAATGCATAGACACTGGATTTGTTTCTTATTTCTTCACTTTGGGGGGAAAATCTCGTTTTTAAAAAGTGATAAATTTGATGTTAGGTCTTTGGAATGTTCCTTCTTTACCGACTTCTAGAATCCTTTCTCCCTCCACTCCTGTGCTACCTTCTCTACAGCCCCCTACCAAATCTCGTTTTTAAAAAGTGATAAATTTGATGTTAGGTCTTTGGAATGTTCCTTCTTTACCAACTTCTAGAATCCTTTCTCCCTCCACTCCTGTGCTACCTTCTCTACAGCCCCCTACACTCCTGTCCAACTGCCTATGCAAAGGAGGAAATAGGGAAGCTGGGCAGAAGCCTTAAGAAGTTCTTCCCTTAGCCTGCCTTTACTTGCCGTGGGAAGAGAGCTGAGGGTCAGGTAGGTGGGAGGACTAGCTTCCAGGGTGCCAAGAAGGAAGAATAGCCCCAGGTTCTCTTTTCTTATTGAGGAAAGATACCACCAGCTGGCAGGGCGGCCCTGCAGCTGGAAGACTTGCAGCTCTAAGGCCAGTGCCCTGTCCAGCTGTGACTGTGCCATGGGCACCATCTGTTGGAAAAAATGGGGAACTGCACCCTGGCACTTGGCCCATGAAAAGATATGGTGATGTGTTGTGTCCTGTGGATGCCTCCTTGCCTGCCCTCCAAGCCTCAGCTGCCTTCATTTTGGATTCCCAAGCTTCAGAATGTGTTCCCTTCTCCAGCTGTGAGACCACCTCCCTTATTCCAACCCGTTATCAAAGATGGATAGAGAACACAGTGGTCATTAACAAAGATGCTCTTGCTGGGAAATGGAAAGGTCATCTCTCCCCTGTCCTAGGTACTGCAGGAAAGACAAAAACCAAGCAAAGATGAAGAAACTTCCTCAGCTCACACAGCCAGGCCTCTGCTGCCGCTGCTTTTGACTTTCCCAAGTAGTGGAGGCAATAGAGGAAAGAAGGGAAGGCCAGATTCTTTCTCCCTCCTTGCTGAAGCAGTGTGGTGCACAGGAAAAAGAGCAGAGCCTGAGAAGTGTAAGGTCCCACTTGTGCCATGTGCCAACTGTGTGCCCCCAGGCAAGGCCTCATCTCCTGGGCTTGCCCATCTCTCTCTTCTCTCCCTCCCTCCCCCTCCCTCTCTCTCTTTGTGTGTGTGTGTGTGTGTGTACATATATATATATATAGTGAGAACACCCCACCAGGATTTCATATGTGTGTTTATGTATATATATACACACACACACACACATATATATATATATATATATATATAAATAGTGAGAACACCCACCAGGATTTTATCAAGCTTAAGAAAGATTGTGTACATTAAGATGCTCAGTCAACTTCCACCCAGTGAACACCAAACACAGCCAGGCCCCGTCTCCCTTCTTTATTGATCTCTGGCTATAGCAAGGGTCTGGGAGACCACGGGCAGGGGTGAGTTACATGCGTCTCTGCCCCACTCAGGGTGGGGTGGGTGGGACAAGTATCAAGGTCTAAGAGACCGTGGATATGGATTTCACGTGAACAGGGCCCACTGTACAAATGCATGGTTGGTATTTACAAGAAAGGAGAGCAGTCACCTGGACTTTGGCCTTTCCTGGGGCAAGGTGGGGGTGAGGAGGAGCCTGAGGAAAGGAAGGGGCACCAGGCCTGGCTGAGCTCTCTCCAGACGATATGACAGCAGCAGCCCTGAGCCCCTCCCCATCTGCCTTCCCCCACCACTCCCCACTTGTCCTAAGGGACGGGCCTCTTGGTGCCTGCAGCTGGGCCAGTTCTCTGGGAGATGGGAAGGAGGTGTGGAACCCTCTCATGACAGCAGCAGCCCTGAGCCCCTCCCCATCTGCCTTCCCCCACCACTCCCCACTTGTCCTAGGGGACGGGCCTCTTGGTGCCTGCAGCTGGGCCAGTTCTCTGGGAGATGGGAAGGAGGTGTGGAACCCTCTCAGTTAGCAACACAGGATTACTGGGTTATACCTCACCCTCCCTACGTACCCTTGACCCCAACCCAGCTGACCTCTCCTGACTTTGTTCATCAGATACACCCTGAAGGTGCTTTGCTGGGGAGATCTCAAAGCACGTTACAGACATTGGTCGGATGGGGAGCCTCCCAGCCCCAGGGCAGAGGAAGGAGGCAAAGGGCTTGGGACTAACCCAGGGCAGGTAACAAGCCCCAGGGGCCCAGAGCAGTCCCAAGTTCTTGAGGGCCCCAGGAAAGGTCTCCCCTCAGTCCCTGGTCCCAATGGCTCCTCTTCCCCCAGTCACCATTTTGGAATGGAAGACAGGGAAGAGTACAGGGGGTCAGGCTGGGGATGGGGCTGAAACAGTACAAGTCTGGGGTAAAGAGGAAGTGCCCCCACACCCCATTTCAAGGTCCTAGAAAGGTACCATGCCCTGAAGGAACCCACTCCCCTCCCCACACAGGGCTCTCAAAACCCCCAGCTTTCTATCCTATTCCAGCCCTTCCCAGGGGAGGAGAAGGGGGACCCAGACCTGCCAGCTAAGATCTGGGGTGGGGGGCTGAGGGAACCCCCAAAATGTATTGCTTAGAAACTTGGAGGCAAAAAGAATAGGGGAGGGCCAAGGGGGCTGGCATCTCTGACCCTCCCCCTAGGCCCTGGGAAGCCTCCAGGAAGCTCCCCCCCCAAGGCAGCTATCTGACCATGAGGGGAGTCCAGAAGCAGGGGGATGGGCACAGTGACCATTGGGAGCCTGAAGTTCCCCAGTCTCACTGCCAGGAGATTAAAGTGCGCCCCAATGGGTGTCAGGTGAGGAGGGGCCCTTCCCCCAACCCCACAATCTCTGGCATTTGGCCTTCGGGTGGGTTGTCTCTTCCACGACTTCCATGCTCCCTTGGAGCAGATGGGGGAGCCAGTCCTGATGGATGGTGCTGATGACATCGAACACTTTGGATTCAATGAGGACCTGGGAAAGAGGGAGAGACGCCAGTGCTCTGATCTTTGCCTCCATCTCCAGCCTGACCTTCCTTCTCCAAGTTCTGCCAGATCCCCCTCAGTCTAGAGTACAGTTGTGCACAAAATGCCCTCCAGAAGGGTGTCCAGCCACGGGTGTAAGCAGGAGCTGAAACTGCAGTCACACTCAACTGGCCTCACTGAGCCTTGTGCCCTGGTAGGTTCCTTTTCCCTAAGCTCACCAAGGTGCTTTACAGGCTAGCTGTTCTGCTGCTGTTCTGAGGAGCTACCTCCTCTCTTCCCGCAGGAACTGTGGGACGGAAGAGGGTGGGAGGAATTCCCTGCTTCCCACCCATGTCCTGGCTCAGTTCTAGAAGGAGGGAGACCCTCACAACCACTGGATCCCAGAGATGACCCAACAAAGATGCCATGTTGGACACCCAGCTCTCCCTATTCCCTCCACCACAACAGGCTCACCTGGGCCAGCCCCAGGGCTAGTCCAGATTCCCATTCTGGTTGTGTTCATCTTCGGCAGAGGAGGGTGGGGCCTCTTCTTCACAGGGGGACAGCTCGTCAATGGACATCTGGTTGGTGATGCCTGCAGAAGGGCATAAAGGAAGCTGAGGTTAGACCAACATGTAATTTTCCCCAGAACCCAAGGATTGTGCGGAGAAAAGTAAGGGATTCTCATCCATTGCCCTGCCTTCAAACTGAGCTACATTCAACCCGTCCCCATTTGGAAAGAGCCTCTCTGGCCTTACTAAAACTCACATATCAGAAGAGATTTCCCAGCCAGGGTCACCAAGTTACCCAAATCTACAAGGGCACCATTTACAGAGACCACAATGTGCACTGGGTCCCCTGGGTTGAGGAATATTATGGCTTTCCCTATCCTCTCTCCAGCCCCTAAAACTGTCTAGAATGGAGCAGGCCATTCAGCCAGTCAGTATTTCCTGTGATCTAACTTTAACCTGATCAGCTCCATTCCCAACTCTAGGATTCAACCAAATTGCTCCAGGGGCCTAATAAAAGGGGGACCTGCCTCTGCTCCATTCACCACCCCCACAAGGTCTCACCCCCACAGCACCCACCACTTGCTGCCCGTTCCTTCCATTTCTGCTTGTTCTCCTGAATGTACTTGGTCCAGGTGGAGCGGAAGCTGACCACATCAGGGTTGGGGTCTCCCACTTCCACATCCAGAGAAGGTTGGCGCCACTGGAAGCTAGAAGCAGGATGCACCCCCCCCCCACCCCAACTCCAAAAGTGAAATCCAGCCCAATCCAGAACCAAACCTCATAGACCTCAGAGTGGAGGAGATGGAAGATCAGGAAGAAGAACTTCCCTTTTCCCTCTACTAGATACCCCCAAGTCCCTGTCCCTCTCACTCCAGTTTTACACACACACACACACACACACACACAAACACACACACACACACCCTCCTCTCCTCGTAGAAGGAAAATAAAAATAAGATGAGCCAAAAAGACTACCCCCAAGTCCCTGTCCCTCTCACTCCAGTTTTACACACACACACACACACACACACACACCCTCCTCTCCTCGTAGAAGGAAAATAAAAATAAGATGAGCCAAAAAGACTATATAAAGACAGAGCTAAAGAAAATCAAAAATATGATGGAGGGGAGCACAGGTGCAGGTCACACCCTTCTGGTCCCATCCTTCCACCCCTGACTGTGACAAGCAGCAAAGGGCTCCCAAGCTTGGAGTGGCCTGCCTCCCCACCACAGCTATACCTCCTCCCCATGAGTCAGTCCTCTCTGTGTCCAACTTCCCTCCCCCAGAAACAGAAGACCTGGCTACCCCAGCCACCCTCACCTGGGCTGGTTTTTAGACTTGGAGTCCTCATCCACCAGGGGCTGGACACTCTTCTCTGCCACATCAGTCAGCACAGAGAACGTGGGCTCCACAATGAAGTCGATGAAACCTGCAGTGAAGGGGGCAACACAGTAGAGATGTCTTACCTGGAGGGCTGGGCAGAGGATACAGCTAGCATGGCGGTGACCCTTGGCTACATGTGAAATGGAGTGAAGAGGTAACCTGGGACTGAAAACTTCCCAATGGGGACAGGCTTTGGGATGATGTCTTTTGACCCCAGAGAACTCCTCTCTGCCATTGCACCCCCTGGTCTCCCTCCCCAGAACCCCAGGCTCCAGCACAGGAG